AAAAGGTGGAAACAACCCATATGTCCATCCACAGATGAACAAAATGTGGTTTATACACACAACGGAATATTAGTCAGTCCTAAAAGGGAATGAAAATCTGATACAGGCTATGATGTGGGTGAACCTTGAGGACATTATGCTACATGAAATAAACCAGACACAAAGCAGGAATTACTGTATAATTCCACTTATCTGAGGTTCCTAGAGTCATCAAATTCATAGAGACAGAAATTGGAATGGTGGGTGCCAGGGACTGGGAGAAGTTAGTTAGTGTTGAATGAGTATGTTGTTTCAGTTTGGGAAGATGGAAAAGTTCTGTGGATGAATGATGGTAATGGCTGCACAACTGTGTGAATGTACTTAATGCCACTGAACTGTACACTTAAAAATGGCTAAGATGGTAAATTTTATGTTATATACATTTTACCACAGTTTTTAAAAATCACCGAAAAAGAAGAAAAAGTATATATAAGCCAACATACTGTCAGAATGGGTGGAGCTTTGGAGGGTGGATCAGAGATCATTCAGGCCTATTACTTCATTTGACAGGAAACCTAATGCCCAGAAAGAAAGGGGATAAATAGTCCAAGAGCTTCAGACCAACAGTGGTAGAGCTGGGACTGGAACCAGGGTCACTTGACTCCCATGCTCCTCTGCACTACATGTGGGCAGGGACCAGGTCTCTCTTGCCTTCCACCATGTCCTTGGTGTCCAGCACTTGGGAACTGTGCAGTCCATTTGTGTCAGCTGGATGACCAGGTTGCACTCCTTCCCAAGTCAGGGTTCTCCATTAGGCTCCTGCCCCAGGGGTCCTGACTGGAAGGTATAGGATGGGACCCAGGCAGGAATATTTTTTAAAAGCTTCCTGGTGTTTGTAAACTGTACCCAAGGCTGGGGAGTACTATTCTACATCATGCTCTCCCCTGGTGCCCTCTCTAGCTGGGGAGTGAGAGACAGGGGCTTAGTAGCTTCCTCTGGGACTTCACACAGTCTCTGGCTGGTTCTTCCTGGCTTGCCTTGTTGTCCTCTGCTTAAAGAGACATGTGTTTGTCATCCTGTGTGTGTGGAGTGCCATTAGTTTTCCTCCCCAGCTCCTTGGCACCGAGGCTGTGGTGTCTGCCCAGAGTGCTGTGGTTTTCTTCTGTTCCAGCTCAGGCTGGGCTGGGTCGTAGCAACTGTCTCCCTGCCTCTGCCGTTACACTGACCTCTGAGGCAGGTCTTAACCATCTCCCTCTCTATAGCTCCAAGGACAGGGCTTGGCATATCTCAGGTTCTGCCAATCTCTAGTAAATGGCATGGAGACCATGGGGTTTAATTTGCCCTACAGTTACAGAGAAGGCTGCCTCCCAGTGGTCTGCAGGCTGGACAGAGGCACTTTGTGTACCTTCCTTTGGCGCTGTTATCTTCCTTTTAAGAAGGGTGAGAGATAGTGAGGACAGCTGCCAGAAAAAAAAGGATGTCCTATAAAGTAGGGCTGAGTATTTGGAATTCATTCTCTCATCTTTCCAGTGGGAGTGGAGCAGCTGCAATTAACATTCACAAAGCCCACTAGGAACCTGAAGCAATAGGCAATAACGGATCTATGTAGAATGTCAGGATGGATTTTTCCTTCCACCTGACTGGTATATGCAACCTGCCTCTCTAGCATAGAGTAATCCAGAAGGCTCATCTCATGTTATTGGTGAATACAATCAGTTGAGACTGCTGTCTAACCAAAACCCCCTTTCTTCTTTCTCCATGCCTGGCGCAAAGCAACCCTGAATGCTCTTCTGCTGGGCAGCACCTCTGGCTCTTACCCACACTCTTGGTTGTTGGGGAGGTAGATAATTGGGCTTTTTTCCCCTCTATTCTCACCAAAAGAAATGTTGCTGAATGCAAAATGCTAAAACCAGCCTTCTTTTGCCTTCTGGTGTTGGCTGCTTCTGAAGTCACTCTATTTAACATCAAAGTGTAAAAGGCAGCAGCCAAGAAATCAAGCCACTGGGTTGTAATGCACCTCCCTGCAGGACTGCCTTGGATCTCAGAGTGAAAGGGAAAGGCAAAGGGTGCAGCCCAGAGCTCTCTCATCGCTGTCAGGGTTGAGGCTTCAGAGTGTCCTGGCCCCCAGATTACACCAGGATGGAGGCAGCCTTTTTTGAATGGGGAAAATCCCATGGCAACAGCATCAGGATGACATATTCTTTTGCACTGAGTTTAATGGGAGCCCTGCTCTCCCCAGTCCATCCCAACCCAGCCTTGCCCAGCCCAGCCCTACTGTGAATGGCCCTGTCATGCCCAGACTGGCCCAGCCTTGCCCTGCCACCCCTGTCCAGCACAGCCCAGGCCTGCCCTGTCCAGCTCTTTCCAGCTGTGCCCTGCCCAGCCCAATCCTGCTCAGTCCTGCAACTGCCCAGCTCTGCCCGGCCCTACTCAGCTCAGCCCTGCCCAGCCCTGCCCTGCTCAGCTCTGTCTTGCCCATCTCTGCCCAGTCCTGCCCTGCCTGGCCCCTGGCCATTACCATATCACTAGAGACTTCTGAAAGGTCAGCCTTTTACAGCCAGGATCACTGGTGTTTTGATCTTTATCCATCCTAAGGGCTGGCTGTTGGGAATGACTTGCCCCATTGCTCCCTGGAGCCTTTGTTTCTGCTGTTTCACCAGATTTATCTGAGATTTTGACAGCAGAAGAAATGAGATTAAATTTTGCTCCCTCTGGTCTGGGGACAGAACAGAGTGAAGGACTCCACGTTGATTTGATTGTCCAGGGTTCCAGGGGCAACCAGATACAACTTTGTTCCCATTGCTGATAATTCCTTTATGAGGAGAGAGAAATCAGAACTGATTTGAGCTTCTTTGTCAGCCTTCTTTCCCTCGTCTGTTTCAGCAGAGTCAAATACCCACAGTTGTATTTATGTGGCATTTCCAGCAAAATGAAAAGAAAGAAGCATGCTTTTTGGGTTGGTTCTTTATAATCAAAACAAGTATCTGTCTTTTAGCTTGAAAACCCAGAATCTGAGTAATGGAATGGAATGTGCTACCCTGAGGATAAGTTATCATGCCTTTGAACCCCTTCCTGATATTATTAGAGGAAGGGAGAGGGTGAATATAAGGTTAATGGATTCTGCTGCTAAACCGAACTTGGAAATGAGGTTTCATTGATTTAATATTTCCTCTATTAAGCCTCCCAAGACAGTGTCCCTGTGGCCCTACCAAGTGCAATCACAGTACTTTCTTCCTTGTGAGAGTCTGTGTCACAGCCCCTGTGTGAGGGGGTCAGACCACCAGTGCAGGATGGCCCTGTGGCCAGCTGGCCTCTCCCCTCACTGACTCAGAAGGGTTGCAAGCCCAGGCCTTCAGGCAGAGTGGCTTCATTAGGATTGGCCTCCTCTGGGGGAGGCTGCTGGATTTGTGGCTACAGACACTCTCCTGCTGCACATGCCCCAAAGAGGGAGTAGAAACCAGGCAGGGGAGGGCTGTTCAGAGACAGAGAGGGTCAGTGCGGTGGGGAGAGCAGTAGGCTGGAGACAGGGATCATTTCATCCACATGCTTACTGACTCGGGAACCTTGCTGTGGCCTCTCAGTCAAGCCTCTCTGGTCTCCAGGCAAAGCCATGTGCCTGGGGGGGGGAGGGCGCTGCTGTCCCCGTTGGTGATGCTGCCAGTGCCACCTCTCAGCCTGTCTTTGGTCTAAGCTGATGGTGCTGTGAGCCGTCCTTCCTGGGTGCCTACCCTTATCCCTGCCCTTCCCACCATGGTTACTACCGGTCCCTGGGTGGCTCTCATTTCCCCTACAGGCCCAACTGTGCCACTCACTGGCTTCATGACCTCATCGCCTCTCTTCCACCTGCCTGCAGTAGAGGGAGCAGCGTCTCTGGGCCTGTGTGGCTCTGAACAGTCTGCCGCAGGTTCTCCTCCCTTCCTTTCCCTTCCACTCAGTTTCCTCTGTTTGCAGGCAGACAGCAAATGCTGCCTCTGGCCCTGCCAGACTGGCACCGTCCGTGGACTTTGGTTAAGGACTCCCTAAACCTCGGGCTTTCCCAGCATCTTGCCCAGTCTGCTGCATGCAGAGCATTCCTGAGGTGGAATTGCACCAGCGGTCAAGATCTTTAGGTGCCAAGGGGAATGAATAAAGTAGGCGAAAAAGTTGGGGCATATCTTTCTTGGTGAAAATTAAAGCAGCGAGGCTTTTAAATGCAGACTGAAGGCTGCTGCATAAATGTTTTGAGCAATGGCTATATTTTTGGAGTGTGTTGTCACTGCTTGTAACTACAGCCTTTGTTTGGATGTGTGAGTTCTAGTATGTTCTATAAAAAACAAGTGTCACTTCTCCATAGCTGCACCCAGTAAAACAAGGACTCTTCCAGCATGTACAGAGTCAGTCTGCTTTATTACTTTGTATCAGCAGAAGTGTGGGTTGTATGAAGCTGTTGTTGAAATGGTGGTGATGTTACTGGTCTCATGAATTGTAGAGTGAGCATGGGGCAGGTTCAGAATTTGTCTAAGGCATCAACTTCAGATCTGAACCCCAGCTTTGCTAGCAGGTGGGGCAGTCTCTTGCAAATGCCTGGGCATTAGAGACAGACAGACCTGAGATCAGATATCATTCCCCTAATTCAGTTATGTGATCCTGGCTAAGTACCCAGCCTTTCTGAGACTCCTTTCCTTCTTTTTAAATGAGGGAGGGAATAATGCTTACTGTAGGGGTCTTTTTTTGTTTTGTGTTTAAATTTTTAATTGTGTTAAAACACATGTAACAGGAAGTTTGCCATCTTCACCATTTTTTAGGGGTGGAGTGCTTTCACATTATTGGGTGACCAATCTCTAGAACATTTCCATCTTGCAAAGCCCAGGCCTGGGTCTCCCTCTGGGTGCCCTCCAGGGGAAGCGGCTTCCCTAGAGCTACCCTGTTGGCTCAGCCCATCTGCTGGGAGGAGTATGTAGGGGTTCTGGTCCCTTCCTGTTTTCTGGCAGGACCCCCTCTTCCAGGAGCAATGTAAATCAGTTTTCTCTCTGACTTTACAGAAAAGGCAACAGACGGCTCCCTGCAAAGCGAGGACTGGACATTGAACATGGAGATCTGTGACATCATCAATGAGACGGAGGAAGGGTATGTGCCTCCCCCTCCTCCTGTGAAGCCTGTCAGCTCCTGGCTGCCACTCAAAGCCTGGCAGGGCTCAGGGTGTTGGGGGTTTTACTTCTCATTTTCTTTGTGGTCTGTTTGCTTTGGCATTTAATGAGCTGACACTCTTAAATTATCTTCCCTCTTCCTCGCCACCCCCCTTCCCCATGGCAGTGCTTGAGTTAGAGTAGCAACGGCCTCTTTTAATAACCTGCTTTTAATCACAAGTGAAGGTGAAGTTGCTTGGTTACTTGGTCTCCAGGGGTCCTTAATCTCTGTAGCCTTAGTCACCTCCTCCAGCCCCTCCTTCCCGGCCTCTGCCTCTCCCTCCCAGGCGTGGGGCTGTCTCTGCCCCACTTTGCTGGGCTCAAACCCCTAGAATCGAAGAGCCTGGAGGCCAGGAGCGAGAACCTGCAGGTGAAGCCCTGAGCTGCCAGGCTTTCTGACGTGGGAACATGACCCACTCTCTCACCTTCCTGCACCACCAGGCCTGTTCTCGACCTTGTTGTTCACCACACGTCCTCCTCAGCTATGTCACAACTACAGTCTACTTATCTTTCTTCTGAGTTCGTCTGCATTTGGCCCTCCATCCATACCATAAACATGGGGCTTACAGCAGCCACGCCATCTCTACCATGTCCAGCAGATGGTGAGGAGAGGCTGGACACAGGCTTGCTTCTTGGCCCTGTCGCTTCCAGCCTTCCTGCACAAATGGGGCTGGCCTCTCAAGGCTGGTCCTGCCTCCGTTCAACAAATACAGAATGACCATGCTCTATTGGGTCCTAGTATAAGTATCAGGACATAGCAGTGAGGACAGACAGACAGCCTCCCCTCCAGGAACTGACCATCCAAAACGGGGAGGCAGGCCATAAACAAGCTAGGCCATGTTACATAGTCAGCTGGTAACAAGACTGGTGAGAGATGAAGCTGGAGAAGGAGAAGGCCTGGAGTGAGTGATTTTAAGTGGACTATTCAAGGAAAGCCTCCCTGAGACAGCCATGAGCAAAGACTTGAGGAGATAGGGAGTGAGCGTGAGTGTTTTCCTGGGGAAGAACTTCCCACGCGGAGGGAGGGGCAAGCGCAGGAGCCCTGGGACAGAGGGTATCTGGTGTGCTTCAGGCATAGCAAGGAGGCTAGTGGGGCCAGAGCAGGGTGGGCAGGGAAGGTAGACTTAGCAGATGAGGTCGGAGAAGCTGGGACCCAGGTAGCGCAGGCCCACGGGGACTCTGGCTTTGCCTCTGGGTGAGAGGGGAGGTCCTCGAAGGATGTGAGCAGCAAAGGGGCCTGGTCCAAGGTCATTTTAAAGAGATTTCTCTGGCTCCTGTGCCCAGAGTGGCCCAGCTGGGGCAGGCCCAGGGAAGAAGCAAGGAAGTCAGTCAGGAGGCCATCGCAGTGGTCCTGGTGTGAGAGTGGTGGCTTTGGCCAGGGTGGCAGGAGAAAAGGATAAGAAGTGCTCAGATTCTGAATATATTTAGAAGGTAGAGCCGATGGAATTTGCCCTTGCAGGTGTGAAAGAAGAGAAAGGTCAAGGATAACTCCAGGGTTTGGGTCCTGAACGGCCACGGGGTGGAGCAGACAGGTGTGCAGAGCTCGGTTCAGCTTGAACCCTTCAGATCTCAGCTACTGACTGGATCCTGCTGCCATGGTGTCTGGTGTGAGGGGCAGTGGCCTACCCTGGAGATGTAAGTCCAGGAATCTTCAATGAAAGATGGCATGTTTCTGCCATCTAAATGTAGGTCATCAGCATGGTGTCCACACATGGACATGTCACACAGTTGTTGAGGACCATGCATTCATGAAGCCATAGTCACTGGGCTCCCACTGGCCATCTTCCTTCAGGCCCAATTAGGTTCCTGTCTTCCTCATCTCCCCTGCTCATTCACTCCTTTAACCAGTTGTCTAGCCACGTCTATGGACCCTGCAGTGTGGCTGGTTCCAGGACACCACAGTGAGAGCACCAGGCTGCTTTGCGGTGCTCACCAGGCAGGGTGGGGCGGGCTGTGGCCTGGCGTGTGCCATTGCAGCAGTCTCAGGGAAAGGCTATGGGATGCCTCCTGGAGGAGCAGGCTTTGGGCTGGGCCTCCAGGTTGGCAGGAGGAGACGTGTGCCATGTGGGTAAGCGTGGCGGGAAAGGGTAGTTTGTTGGGGACACAGCATCTGGGTGAGCAGGGAAGAAGTGGGGAGGAGGAGTGGGAGTGGGCATGGAGACTGGAAAGGCGGCCTGGTCAGACTGAGAAGAGCCTCTTCCTTGTCATCCTCCCCTGGGGGCCTGCACCCTCCAGGCAGCCCATCTACCTTTGCTCCTTTCCTCCCATGCACCCTCCAGGCTGCAGCAGAGGGTCTCTTAGCAACTCAAGACTCACCAAGTTCCTCCCCTGCTACCAAGCCTTCTCTCAGGGTAAAAATCCGACCATCAGGGACCCTGCGTGCTAGCTGGGCCTGCAGCTGTCCCCCTGGGGCTGCTCCCTTGTCTTCCTGTCAGCCCCACGGAGCTTTCAATTCCTTGAGTTTTTCACATTCCCATACCCAGTTTGCCCACAAATGGGGGGATAAACACATAGGCTCTGGAATGGAGCTTCTTCATTCCAAAGGGCTGATGTCTCCTCCCAGGAGAGGCAGGCCAGCTTCCTTTCCAGTTCTCTACTCACTGTCCTCCTAAAGTGAGCTGCGCTCCTGTTCCTGCAGGCTTGAGTGGTAGCACCTTGTGATTCCCGGGGGTTTTCTGTTCTTACCTCTACTGTGAGGTGACTGTCAAAATCTCATCCTAAGTGGGGGAAAAACTCCAGAAATTCGGCTAATGGTCAGGTAGCTCCTTCCTGCTTTAGGGTTTCAGTCCTGGAGGTCCTATTTCCTCACACCTCTCCCTTTCACCAATTAGTTCCGCCTGTCACTGGATCTTAGGTTGAATCTCATTTCTCTGACACCCCTCTCTGCTAACTGTGACAAGTCCTCCATTGTATGATTTCATAATACCCTGTATTATCCTACACTCACCACCATTTAAGCTGACATATTTGTGTGAGGTTAGAATGTCTGTCTCCTCCCCAAGCCCATCAATTGTGAGCTCCATGAGGGCAGGAATTCTGTTTCACTCACTGTTGTATCCCCAACACCTAGCATAGTGCCCACATAATTGGCTCTTGACAAGCATTTGTTAAATAAGTAAACGAATGAATGAAGTCCCTAAGGAACTCGTCTGAGAGGGAGGCAAACAAGTGAACAGAAGCCTAACACAGCATGACCAGAGAAGCTGCATATAGCGGCTGAGACACACTGGAGCGTGGCAGATACCAGAGACACTAGAGCCCCTCTGGCCTTGGGGCTGTCAGCAGCAAGGCTTTCTGGGGTGCGGTGACACCCCCGTGGAGTCTTGCCGCATCCAAGGACCTCAGCCAGGTTGGCTGGGTGGATGGCAGGGGAGGAGGGTGGAACCCAGACTGGAGGGCAGTGTGTGCAACTTGTACATAGGCAGGGGAGTGTAGTGGGGTTAGGGGCCTGGAGCCACCCTGGCCTGGGATCCGAGGTCTGTATCCCTCACCGTGTGTTCCTGTGTCTTGGTTTCCTCGTTTTTAAAATGTGGGAACCAACAGTACCTGTCTCACAGGGTTGTGGTAAGAACTAAAGGAGCAAATGCATATGGACTATCTGGGTGTGTGTTCCCCCATATCCATTCTATTTATGTGCATCCATCCTTTACAGTCTATCTCCATTAAAGACTTCCAACTGCCCATGACTGCCTTCACCACTTTCATTCATAGTGTCATCTGGCTGGTCCTTGGTAATGATCTTGCTGCCCTTACCGTGTCTGCCATTCTCTGAGCACTTGCCATAATTCCAGGCTCCTGTGCTGAGCCCTGGATTGCACCAGCTCATGCAGCCACCCTCTCCCCTACAGCCCTATAAGGTAGGGACAGCCCATTTTAATGTTGAGAAAACTGAGGCCCAGAGTGGTTCGGTCATTTGCTGAAGGTCTCACAGCACAGCTAGGAAGGGCAGATGTGGGATGTAAGCCCCAGCTGACTTGGCTCCAGCCACCGAAGCTCTGCTGGCACTTCTTTTATTTATCCAGAGCTTCACTACTGGGAGGCTTTGGTCCTGGTGGATGCAGTTTTGGTAAGCAGCCCCCTGGGCCCCCTCCCTGGGCTTTCCCTATGTCCAGGGCTGAGGTCACCTCCAGCCTCAGGTCTGGCATAGAAGTCTGTCATGCCCCAAATCCTTGGTCAGTAGCCAGGAGTGCCTGGCTGAATGGCCTACCTGGAAATGTTTTGGAGCCTGTTTGCCAGGCCTCACCCAGATCTGCCTAATTAGGGAACGGGTGGGTGAATTTTGTCTGTGCTCCCCAGGGATTCTACTGGGCAGCTCTGATGAGGATCCACTGACCTGGATCATTTTCATGACCATCTCTGGACCTTCTCTAGCTCATTGAATCTTGTGACCCAGCCTCTAGGCTGGGGAAGGCGCGGAGGAGTAGTCACTGGGTACATGAGTAGTGCAGGATAACAGCAGAGACAGGGAGGGAGGGAGAGGAGGTGTTCAAGGTGGTAGCAGGGGGCAGCCATGTTCTCCTCAGGGGGATAAGGAGAGAGTGTCTCAGAAGAAGCAGTTTGGGAGCCAAAGGGCAAGATGAGTTCAGTATACCTGGGCAGAAAGGCTCTTACACGTCTGGGGTTGAGGTGACTTTGGAGAGGCTGAAGAGGGCCAGAGGCTGTATCCTGAGGCCCTGGGAGCTGGCTGCCCTTCCTGCCCAAAGCCGCCAGGGTGTTGGGGTGTCTCAGGCGTGCCGTTCCATACTGCCCCTTCTTCCTGTTCCATCTTGGCTCTTGACCCTTCTTTCTTCTTCCCCCCTGTTTCCAGCTCCATGCTGTCTAACCTGCTGCTTCTTGAAACTTTGCAATTCCTCTGACATGACTTTGATCTTCCTCTGATGCGTCTCCCCTGGAGAGAGAGATAAATAGTTGCTTTTGTGTTCACCCAGTCACTCTCAGGCAGTACTTCCTGAGAGTGAATTTTCATTTTAGCTCTAAGCTAGGAGACTGCTGACTCTCTGATTTCTCACCATCACCATCACCCCCACACCAGGGAGCTCTGGATCTGCCATGCTCTGTGAGCTACAAGTAATGGCAGCCCTTGGAGGCTGTTCCCGTTTTTCTGCTCCATAAAGTTCAAGAGGAAAGGGATGAGACTGGACTGAGAGGGATGGCAGCCGTGGGTCAGAGCTAACTGTGGCTTGGCAGAGCCTTTGAGAGAGAGGAAACCAGTCCATGCTCCTGGCCAGCAGCCACTGGCCTTCACCAGCTCAAGTCCACACACAGTCATCAAAGCCGAGAGCCTGTCAAGTCCCATATTTGCAGAAATCGGCATCCTTGTTTGGAAACTGCAGCCATCCTGCAAACACACTTGGCAGGGACCTGTTCCCCAGAGAGCCTCGTCACATCAGCCCTCAGACTCAGGAGCCAAGAATTCCTGCAGGCTGCCATGTTTCCAGTTGGGAATGAGGAATAGGGGACTCAGGGTATTTTTAAATTTCTTCTAGAAGCTTCACCTTGCTACTGTGTACTTCTAAGTTGGGCTGATTAGCAGAGCTTCTGGCACACACACCCCACTTCCTTACACCCATTTGAAAGGATTTTTTGTTTGGTAAATAGATCATAAATATTTCAGAGCTAAAGCAACATGAGGTCCCTGATTTACAAACCTTCAACTTTGGAAAGACCCAGATATTTTGACATGTTGATCAGTAGAGGGCTGGATCCCACTTGTGAGAGCAGAGGGCAGGCCTGCAGGGAGACTGGGGGCTCCCCAGAGGTCAGATGATGGGGCACTGGGGGCAGGTGCTTTATGCCACAGGTAGCTCTTAGTCCCAGCTTTGGTGAATCCTGGTTTAAAATAAACTAACATGCTAGACACAAGGCCTGCTCCTGATAAGTGCTCTCAGAGGGCTAGCTGGGGAGCCCTAACTCCCAGCTCTAACAGCAGGTAAGGAAGAATGGGTGCCAAGTTATGAATGAGCTTCTGAACATGGCCCATTTGTAAACTGGGGACTGCCTGTAATTCTGCCAGATTCTCTCTGGGAATTTATATCTGATCCATTACCTAATAACACACAATTCCTCGGGTTTTGAGGAGACTTAAGACTTACTTAAAAGTTTTCTCAGGGAAAAGAGAGTTCCATGGGTCCTGGGAGGAGTCAAGCATCTAGGCCTCAGCAAGGACCTGGCTCTCCTCTCTGTGTGTCTCTCCCTGGTTTCTTTTAGTGCACCCACACACCAGCGGGTTAGTTACTGTCTTGAGTACATAATGCATGTGATACAAAATTCAAAAGGGCTGCAAAGAGGCAATTTAGTGAGAGACCTCCTTGCCTGCTTTGTCACTCATCACCTCCCAAGGAGCAGCCACAGTTGCCATCTTCTTGTGGCTCCTTCCAGAGATTCTCTTCCTGTGCCAGCATATGCTGTACTGGTATGTTTACTGCCCTATTATAGCTCACATAGTAGCATAGCCCTGCTCTGCTTTGCAGGTGACTCTTTTCACATATCTTTGAGTTTGGTCCATATTGGTACGTAAGAGGTGTCCATTCTTTTATGTAACTGCATAGTATTCCACAGTGGATAAACATAATTTAATTTAACCTGTTTCATATTGAATGGCATTTAGCTGTTTCCAGTCTTTTACATTTACAAATGTGCTATAGCTAATTCCCACATGTATGTGTCAGATCACACAATGGGAGTGAATCTGTAGGTTAGTACCCCAGTGGGATTTGCAAGGATATTAATTTCCTTTTCTCCTTTTCTCCAGGCCAAAGGATGCCATTCGAGCCCTGAAGAAGCGGCTCAGTGGGAACAGAAACTACAGAGAAGTCATGCTGGCATTAACAGTGAGTGCTGTCCCCTAGACATGGGACAACAAACGGGAAAACCCATGCTCCCAGCCTGGCCCTGCTCACAGGGCCTCCCCTCTGCCCGCTCAGCACAGCCTCCTGGAACCATGGCCAATAATGGTTCAGTGTGTGTGCCACTGAAGTGTAGCAGAGCCTTCTTGTAGTGTCCTTGGGCTTTCCTACCCTCCTCTGAAATGGGGGTGAGCTGCAGTCTGATGTATGCCAGCAGAAGATAGGGCATGGGCTGCACTGACTGGCCTGGAAGCCCAGAGCAGAGAGCCACAGGCCTGGTGTGGGTGTCCTGTCTGCCTGCAGCTGCTTCTCTAGGCATCAGTGTCCTCTTTATATAAACATGCTAACCTCCCCAATACCTGCCCAGGATTGTACTGAGCTTTTCAGATGTTAATGGAAATGCTTTCAGTAAACCTGCAAGGTCAGTTTCATCATCCCCTTCCCAAGGATGAAGAAACAGGCTCAGAGACATCTAGGGGTTTGCCCTGATTTCTCAGCTAGTGAGGCTCCCAGCTGTGGGCTATGGGATAAAAACTGACCGTCACTGTAGAGGTTCTAGAAAAGGTCAGCCAAGTGACTCCTTTCAGGAAGGAACAGACCAGATTTTTACCCTTCCTTAAAATGTCAGTAAACTAAAAGGGACAATTTCAGGTGTTATTTCTGTCTTGAAAGCTAACAGTGTTTCAGATGTGGCAAAATCTAGGCTGCAATGAATTCTTATAATGGAAACTGTAATGGGCTCCTCTGTAGGTTTGAATAGTTTGTTATTCATCCAAAACAGCTATAATGTGTTTCCTCTTAAGGCAGTGGAACTCCTTGGATTTTTTGCCCAAGTGAAAACCAAGACTTAGGAGAGTTCTCTCTGCCAGGGAACTTGTGTTTGAATGACAAAGGAGAAGAAAACCAGCTGAGAAATAGGGAGTTGAAAGCTTTTGTTTTTCCTCAGAATTTGAGCCCTGGTATTACCTAAACCCAGAGTGGTGCCCAAAATGAATTATTTTCAGAAACTAAAATCACCAGGAATGAACTCTGGTGTATCGGGATATTTTCCTGGCATCTGAAATGTATCCCTTTACATGCCCAACTTCATGGTACCCATAGTGGATGGAAATTTTTCTAAAGTGGTCTCTGCCTTTACTTCCTTCCTATAGCATCATGATGAGCATCTTTTAACCCTTCCTGAGGGTTAGGTCTTTTGTATTATTATTATTTTCCCCAAGCTTTATTGAGATATTATTGACATACAACATATGTGACTTTAAGGTGTATAATATGATTATTTGATACATGATATATATTGCAAAATCATTACCACAAGAAGGTTAATTAACACCTTTATCCCCTCACATAATTACCTTTTTTTGTGGTGTGTGTGGTAATAGTATTTAAGCTCTACTTTCTTAACAACTTTCAAGTATATACACACTACTGTTAATTATTGTCACTGTCTGTATGTTAAATTCCCAGAACTTACAGCTGGGAGTCTGTACCCTTTGGCTAGCATCTCTCCTTCCCTCCCATCCTCTGGCCAGCATTCTGTCTCTGTGAGTTCAGTTCTTTTAGATTGTGCATATAAGTGAGAACATGCAGTACTTCTCTTTCTGTATTTGACTTATTTCACTTAACATAACATTTTAATGGCAAAGCATGTTATCACAAAAGACAAGATTTTCTTCCTTTTTATGGGTGAATATTCCATGTGTATATTTTTCTTTCTCCACTCATCCATCGATGGACACTTAGGTTGTTTCCATGTCTTGGCTGTTGTGAATAATGCAGTGAACACGGAGGTGCAGATATCTTATTTTATTTTGGTATCATTAATATACAAGTACAGGAGCAACACTGTGGTAACTGGATTCCCCCCATTATCAAGTACCCCCAAATAGCCCATTTTAGTCACTGTCCATCAGCATAGTAAGATGCTATAGAATCACAACTTGTTTTCTCTGTGCTATACTGCATTCCCCATGCCCCTCCCCCTACATTATGTGTGCTAATCATAATGCCCCTTATTCCCCTTCTCCCTCCCTTCCCTCCCACCCTCCCCAGTCCCTTTCCCTTTGGTAACTGTTCGTCCATTCTTGGGTTCTGTGAGTCTGCTGCTGTTTTGTTCCTTCAGTTTTTGCTTTGTTCTTATACTTCACAAATGAGT